ATATAATTTAATTAGTTGACTTGAATTTTGTTAGGTTAGATAAATAGGTTGACCTGAACTAATTCAGAGTTCTAATTACTAAGTTTATATTTTATATAAATTTTAATAAAACAAATCTTTTGAATTTTTTAAAAAAATATAAATTTTGATATTTTTTCATAATATATGTAATTTTATAAATTTATATATATAAATGTATAGTTTTATATACAATAAATATATATTTAAATTAAATTAATAATTATCAAGAAATTAAATTTTAAAATTTAATAATTTTATTTTTTTCACTATAAGTTTATATAATAAATTTTATAATGATCTATATAAACAAATTAAATCAATTCTAATAAATTTAATAAATTTTAATTATTAAATTCAAATTCTTTTGATAAGATAATTCTAATAAGCCTAAAATTATAAAATTTTAATCATTAGCTATGAAAAAATTAATTGTTAAGTTTAATCTTATTTATACAAAAAAATTTGTATAATGTTGATCTTTAATAATCAATTTTTTTATAAATAGTATTAAGATTTTATGATTTTAAGTTTGTTGGAATTATCTTATTAAAATAAATTTAAATTTAAAATTTATTTTACAATTTTTTTATTGATTCAAGTCAGCTTAAACAAAAAATTACTTTTAAATTTAATCTAATAATAAGAATATATAATTTATTAATAAAAATTTTAATAATTATAAGAATTTTAACAGTAATATATAATTTAACCTAATTTTTATATTTTTATATTTCTGAATATATACTAATATAATTTAAATAAATAAAAAAATTTACTTTAGTAAAAAATTTTTCTATTAAAAATTTCTTAAGGCACTTATCTTTTTTTATTAGATCTATACATAAAATTAAAATTAAAATTCAAAGTTAAAATATTTCAACTTTATATATTATAATAATTAAAATATATTATAATAGTTAAAATGTATTATGATAATTAAAATGTATTATAATAGTTAAAATTAAAAAATACTTTTAAAAAATCAATAAAGAAAAATATTTATAGTATATTATAATAGAAAAATATTAATTTAAAAGATCAGCTGACATAATGTAATACATTTAATAAGAAGTTATATTATTATGCTACATTAGATAAAAAAAGATAATAAAGATGAAAAAATAAATTAAATAAAGATTACGTGAGACATCTAAAAGATGCTGAAATTTTTTTATATTATTAATCAACTTATATTATTAATTATTTTATATTAATTATTAATTATTATTTTAATTATTTATATTAGTAAATTTAGTATAAATAGAATAGTTTTAGAACTTGATTAGAGATAGACAAGTTCAAACAATTTAAAATAATTTAGATAATTTCACAGATACTCTTAAATAATTAAAAAATTTAATTTAGTCTTTATTATAAATAAGATAAATACTAATAATTCTTATATATTAACAAATATAATTATATCAAATTCTTTATTTTTTAATAAAATTTTAATTACTTATTCTAAATATACATTATTACTTAAAATTAATATTTATTTGTAAATCCTTTAAAACTTTTTCAACTTTTTCTGAAATATTAATTAAAGCTAAATTCTTATTAATCTTATATCAATATTAATTTTCAGTTATAATTATTATAAGATAATATATATATAAATATATTATTATTATATTATTATTATTATATTATTATTTTATTACAATTATTATTTTTATAATTATAATATTTATCTTAAAAACCTTTTTTAAATTAATAAAAATATTAAAATAAAATAAAAAGTAATAAAAAAATAAAATAAAAAAAATAGAAAAAAATAGAAAAAAATAAAATAAAATAAAATAAAAATAAAATAAAATAAAAAAAAAATAAAATAAAATAAAAAAAAATGAAATTAAATAAACAATTAATTAATTATTAAATATTAATTAATATATTTTATTAAATAACAAATATTTCAGTAAAACAAGTTTTCTTATATATAAAATTGATCTAATATTAATTAAAAGATATAATTTTAAATTAATATAATAAGCATAAAATTCTAATAAAAAAATATATGTAAAAATGAATTAGAATTAATACTTATAAAAAAAAATAAATTTTATAACATTTTTTTATTTTTAATATTAATATTATTCTTAAAAATTTGAATTGAATTTAAATTATATAATAATCAAGTTGAGTTAAATCTGAATCAAATAACAAGTCAAATTCAAGTTTTATAATTATTGATTTTTAATTTTTAAAATAATTAAATTATTAAAATTAAATTAATTTTATTTTTTTTAAATATAATTTATTTATTTCTATTTTCTTAATTATGTATATTATTTTTTTATTAATTTTTAATTTTTATATTATTTTTTTTTAATTTTATTAATTTAAAATTTTTTAATTAATTTTTTATTAATATGATTTTTTTATTATATTAATTATTTTTTCAGATATATGTATTTTTTTAAATTTTTAATTTTACAATTTTTTTACTTTTATGAGTTTTTAAATTTAATTTAATTTTTAATAATTGCAATTTATTAAATTCAATATAGAAATGATAATAAATTATTATAATATATAATAACAAATACAATTTATCAAAATTAGACTAATTTTAGATGAATCATCACAAATTTCTTTATTATTAAATTCAAAAGTAAAATATATATATGTATTTAAAGATAAAAATGAAATTAATAAATAAAGACTTAAGGTTAAATGGATATTCCTTAATATTTATCTACTGTAACTATATTATTTATATCAGATAATATTATAAGTACTTAAAAATTTTTTATAGCAATTATAAATAATAACTTTACTCATTATAAATATATAATATTTAAGAAAATTAGATAGATATTTAGTAATGCTATTAGAAAATCAAATTTTAATAAAAAAGCTTTTTGATTTTAAGTTGAATGATAAAGTATTATTTGTGTATTTAAGCTATAAGTGTAACTTTAGAGAAAGCTTTAAACAAGTTATTTTACTATTAATAGAAGTAAGATATATATATTTAAAAAATTAATAATTCTTTATAATAATAATGAAATTAATATATACAATTTATGTAGAAAAAATAATAATTAGTAAATATTAAAAAAAAAAAGAAAAGAAACAATTTTTTTTTAATATTAACCAATTTTATTTAATATTAAATTTTATATGAAATAATAATAATAATAAGATCTGATTATTTTATAAATTAGACTAAAAAAAAATAAATTTTGGATTAAACTGGATTGGTAGAATTGAATGATGTAAGATTAGACTGGTCTAGTCTAAAGAAAGATAAAAGATCAATCTTAAAAACCATTATGCATTAATCCTTTCTATATAAATATATGTTATTATCATAATAATCCTTCTGAATCACTATTAAATTAATAAACTGCAATTTTAGCACTTAAATGAATCTTTAGTAAAAGTATTTTTATCTAAATAAACAAGTGAATTTATAATTTACTTAAATAGTTCATAACCTTTTTATTATTTTATTATGAATTTAATATTTCTTTAATTGTTTTACCTACTTATAATTAAAATCATTTTTAATTATTTTTAAAAAATTAATACTTTTGTAATAAATTTTATAATGTTTTCCAAAATTTTTTAAAAAAAAATGGAATTAACTAGTAATTTTTTTGATAAATAATAATAAATTATTATTAAAAAATTTAAAATTTAAAATTCATATATCTTGCTATCTACTAATCTCAAAAATTTAAATAATTATTACTACATATGTTATTTTTAAAAATTGAAAAATTGATATATATTAATAATTATTAATTTTAAATTTAAAAATATTATTATTAAATGTATTTAATATATTATAAATCTAATAAACTTTATTTCATCTTTTATAATCATTAGATGTCAAAATATTTTGTTTTCTAAATGTTTTATAGACAATTTAAAGGATAATATTTTTAATTGCAAACCTCCTTGTTGATTTATTTAAACATTTTAGAATCCATTTTGGTATATTGATAAGAATAATACTGAATGGATCCTTCAAACCAATTAATTTGCTTGATATAAAATGTATCATCCATAGTCGACAAATTGGATTAGGTTTGGTTTATTTCAGGCTATATTTATTAAAATATTTATTAAATAAAGGATTAAAACACATTTAGAGTACATTGCTATCGATGCCTATACTAACCGTTGCAAATTCAGTCGACATGATCATGAACTTGTTCATATCCTTCCGACACATTTCGATAATTTCTTTTTTCGAAAACGTTTTGTCTATACTTTCGTTCGCAAAATATTTTCATTAAGTTATTAATTAATTTTTTTATGAATATTTCAACGCAGAATCATCATCCTACCTATTGCCCGCTCCTACTCGGTTTCCGTACATAGTCTCCGAAAAATTACTTGATTTCGTATCTCCTTCGGGCGAAAAAACGTTCATCTTTGCCGGACAAGCGTATGTCGTTCTCAGCAGGTCTTCAACGTGGGAAAACGTGAACTTCTCGACATGTTCCATGGGAGAATTATTGAGGTACGACTCTGCCACCTTTGCTGAAGTCGGATACAGCGAACTTGCAGAAGCTAATAGAAATTGTTGTGTTGTCATTGGGAACTTTTCAAAATAACATGTGCGAGATTTCGGGGAGAGAATATATTGTTAATGTCAAACCTTGGGTTTGAATTTCTGTATCGGGCGAAATTTTCGGTTTTATTGAGAACTTACGAATGTCACGTGATCACTTATATTATTTGGTAGTAATTAGATAATAACAATGATAAGTTTTTCTGATGGACTTTGAACCTATTATGTTTATGCAATTTAAAAAAGAAAAAATACCACGAAATATTCTTTGATAAAATAAACTACATATTTAATTAAATTTTAATATATTGTAACAGAGCGACATTAAATAATTCTATTTAAATCGAACACGAAATTTTCTCGTTTTATTATTGATAACTTCCCATGTGAAAATCTTCACCTTAAGGTCGTACCTTTTAGGAAAAGGAAAAAAGTTCTGACAAATAATCTATTTACTTTTCGGTTGATCGACGGGAGAGACCTCAGAATCCACGTCGACAATAACAGGCGTGAAATAGTCAGATATAACATTCTTTTTTACCTTATATTTTTCGACCTTTTATAAATGTTCTCATTATCTTTTTGAATTAATGAGGCACCTTTACTTACTTCTTCAATATCTTCGTAAAGGTCATGAAAGTCCTTATTATCAAAACTATTCATCAATTGACAATGATCTCACACATCTTCAATCGATTCAATGGATAATGATCGTTTCCACTCTCCACGTCATCAACCGATCCAATGAGTAAGATCGTTTCCTTCCCACTATGTCATCAACCGATTCATCAATTGATAATGTTCGTTTCTTTGATTTAGTAGGTATAATGATTTCGGCGAAATTTCAGTAATTTCAGCAGAATATTCTGTAATATATTTAATAGTAAATAAATAAATATTATTTTATTATTATTATGATAATTAATTACTGTTTTAAATAAAATAAATATGTATGTTGTATATATAAATTCACAGCTTACATCCCAAGATTCAATAAAACAATCTAAATTCTCTATCCACATCTGTTGGGTGTTTCTCTAAGTTTCTTTTTCTTACACGACTTTTATCTTCAAGATTTTTTTTTTGCTCCTAATAAGAAAAAGAATATACTTATAATCAAGTTATTCTTAATTCGCAGAATAAAACAATAATTTTATATCAGAATACTTACGTTTTCTTACAAAATTTCCACACTGTAAAACCCATCAAATAACCATATCCATGATTATTAACAGACACATATCGGTTGCATCCTTATCGTCCTTATCATACTCATCGTTATCTTTATCGTCCGTAAATATTTCAAAGCCATCGGACTCTAATAAAACAATAGCCTCAATACGCGAAAGGCCTTCAATTTAAAACTACCATCAGCCTTCATTTAATCAATATGACTTTATCCTTGTTCATGGTAACTTCGGCTTCAAGTATTTTTATCATGTGAGCCTAAAAAGTTTAAGAGTTATAAATTTAGAATCATACTCCACAAATTAATTTAATACTAAGAGGATGATGATGATGATATTAATATAAATACGAACCTTCCTCTTCTAATATTCGAGCCTGTATGTTTAAAGTTCCTGAAGAATTTCTTAGGGAGAATGATATTTTCGAATACGACCCTTGCCATCGAAACAAACCATGTTCGACGTTCCGATGGTCGTGCGCATCTAAAATCATCTTTCAAGTCCTTCTTTTAAAGAATCTCTTAGACTTATTCGCGATAGCTTTACGGTGGTGGTTGTATGTTTTTTTTTGTACTCCTAGTATTTATAAAAATAATTTAATAGAATATTAAAAATTTCTAAGGCAGATTAGCTACATAAATGTTTACGTACGAGGATCCAGCTTGGGAACTTTATCTGTTCCGGATATCCACAGCTCAAGCGTTTCTTTGTAATTTTGAGTCCATACACGAATTGATAATTCGGTAATTCGTACGGATGCATTGTTAATTTGGTAGATCTTGTCATTGATCTTGTATCTGTCATTGCTTATTTGTTCAACTTCATCCTATATATTATATGAAATAATAATTTAAGATATGGGGAATTCAAAAGTCCGTTAGAGGATTCTGTTAAATGATTATTAATAATGTTACCTGGAACCAGTGATGTCCATTTTTGATGTCCCAGAGATTTGTTGTCCCAGCTATATGTCCCAACCTGTCCCACACTATGTCCCAAATGTCCCATCAGTGCAACACTGCCTATGCCTCTCTATCATATGATCCTGGTAAAGTAACCACCAATACTTGCCAATGACGTTAAGCACACTAATACGACTACAGATTCAGAATGCCAGCAATAAAAGTTGATCCGATCAAGAACGATATAATCTTATTTTAATAAACCAAGTTTC